AAACCCCATTCCTCACCTGAAAAAGCAATCACAGATTACTGATAAATCACAAACAGTAGTAACTCATTTTGATTTTTGTCAGTTCCACAAATATTAAACATACTGAAAAAAATACTTGTGCAATACATACACAAAAGCTTTGTCAAACACCTAACTAAAAAGAAAGCACTAAGAAGCAGTAGTACTGTGCAATGATGATGAAATTAAAGATCTACATATACTTCTTAAGTTAACTGAACACTTGCTCTTTACTTCAAGAAATGAATACTGCTGATAAGTGAAGGTATGGAAGCTACCATACTCGCAATTAAAGCTAAGTTCTAAAAGTTAATGTGCTCAGAAGAACAGCAGAAAACCCAACCCAGTAATTTTAAACAACTGTCTCATAAAACTGCAGCTCTAGCAACACAAAGCTACAAAAAAGCCAAAAGTATTAGTACTACAAAACAGCAGAAGCTGCATTCATATTTAAGAAGGGACATAAAGAATCATACTGGAAATCACAATCTTGTTTGATTGATTTTTCAGTGCTTTGTCAAAGCAAGCTCTAAAGGAGACAAAGCAAATGGACATAGAATAAAAACTTTACACGAGTTAAAATTATGTAAGATGGGCACAAGTCTTTCTCAGAAGAAAGACCCTACACAAGGGTGCTCTCTTTGCAATTAGTATGCCTGCTCATGGGTCCAAAAGCACCTGAGAAAGAAAAAGGGCTGTATGATCACAGGGTGACCATGACTCAACAAAGGGGTGTGTAGGGAGTGAGAGAGAAATAGACTGGGGTTTAATGCAATAGTTTTAAGGACTCATTAAGAATTTTCATTCAGAATAATATTAACTGAAACCAAACTATTGCAAAAAAGCTGTTACTATGAGTTAAAGAGTCTAATATGAAAGGGAAAAAACAAAGACTGAGAAAAGCATATAATTACAATGTGCCAAAAGATTACACTGCTTACCATTATGTTGAAGGCAAAGTTATTCCAGTTGATGAAGAGTGTTTCCATTTTAAAGAAACTGCTTGTCTCTAATCATGGCCCACTTCAGAAACCCTTGGCACAAAGTTTCTGCGCTGAGTGGACAAGCTCATGTCAGCTTTTTCAGGAAAAAATATACCTTCGATGCAGTATATATGCCATTTTAAAATCTGAGAAATACAATTTCTTAAAAGTTCATGGTGGTTTTTTTAGTAATAGAATTACAATTTCTTAGAGGGAGATGAAATCTCTCAGTTTGTTGGTGTTATGAAGCTATAGAGGAACAGGAAGTGACCAGTTAAGACAATCAAAAAGCCATTATGCAGTTTGCAAGAGTCTGCAAGTGCCTGATGAATCCATAAAATGTAACGGTGCCTGGTTAGCGCTGGCAAACTTAAAGCAATGCAAGACAGTAAATGTACCAAGGTATCCTACAGCCCTGTAGATGAGACATCTACAGATCCACCAAGCTATCTTTGCTGACCTTCCTCAGTCTTTGCCAATTACCAAAATTCCTAGACAACATCATGCAGTGATGCAGCGTCAAGTGGTGGCACTTATTTTATGAAGTATGAGTTCTCCACCAGTCAGTTGCCAACAGCTGCACAAAATAAAACATTACATAGAGGATATTATTATCAGTGACACGAAGAATCTGCAAAGCTCTCATAATGGTCATTCACCAAAGGATCTCTCAGGAACAATGTAAATCATATGCAGGCTTCAGAGAAGCAGTGTAACACAGCTGGACTTTTCTAGAATCAGTGTTACCATACATGCTGAAGATACAAGAACAAACTAAGAATTCAAATGCAATTCTAAAACATAAGGAAACGACAATACTATAATCAGCACCACAAAAAATTATGAAAATGTATAATAAAAAATAAACCACAAGATTCTTCCAGAAGTGTTTATTCTAAAATGAAACCACCGTCATTTTTACACTGTTAACTTTTTCAAAATGAGCATACTTTCTGTCACTTTGCAAAAGAATGAATTGTTGCTCATTAAAAACCAAAACAGTGCTACTATATTGAGGCTCCATATTTTTTAATGAAACAAATAGAAAGCCCCATGGTAACAACCCACATTCTGTAACAAGCTACAACTATTTAAAATATTTTTCTATTACCAATTTAATACACTCCTACACTCTTTTCTACTAGTGATACAGTTACAGTACAACAAAGAAAAGCTACCGAAGCAAGAGGAAGAGATTGTCCTGGGTACCCCTTAGATGAAACAGCAGTTGGAGAAAGCTCTTATCAGTTGCCATCATTTCTGCCGTGGTGGCGGACTGGTAGGCTTAGAAACACTTGTTCTCACTTGGCCCTTTGATAGGCACCCCTTCACCTCTTCTGTAGAAGCACGTCTAACTCTGCTAGCCTAACTCAAGAAAATGTGAACTTTATCATCTTCACAAGCAGACAAGCACTATTTACATAAACTCTATTTATTTACATAAAATTTTTGAAGGACGTGCAATAATCACAGAATGCCCATTACCTACATTTACATGTTACCTAGTTTCCAGATATTACGATAATAAAATTGGATTACTTTCTCAGAAAGCAGTTCTAATCATTTTCTGTAACGCTACTGGACTGTACTTATGACTACCACCACACACCTTCACATTAGGATCTTGTAAACACAAACAGCAACATAGTATCAAATCCATTATTTGTTTCTAATCCTCTGCTGACGTTATATACCAGAGGTATTCAATTATATATGATACTGATCTAGGTTTTTTGGATATATGCACTGACAGCTTGTGCACTGCGCGAAAGTCTAGGTCTTAATATGCTCTACAGATCCCCACTACATGGAGTCAAATATAAACAGCACTTTCTAAAAGTTCACATGTGTTGAAGTACTATGCCATCTTCTGAGACAATGAGACCCTGAGAAAAAAAACCCAACACGACAACCCCCAAATCCTTTGGTGTCAGTTCACAAGAAGTAGCGATGTTTAGGGCAACAAACTTACACCTGACACATTGCACACAACTGTCTTCTATTCACAAGTTTCAGATGCAGCCAAGAATTCAGTTCAGGTAAAACTGACTTCACAGCAAGGTAAACATCTCCAAACCCAAGTAACAGGAAACAACAGTAAAAGTATGTCATGTACGTCAAACAATTTCGTACTGCTAAAGCACCTTTCATCTATTCTTACATTATCACTAAGCAATTATATTAACCAAGGAAGCAGATGTACATTAAGAAGATAACTGTTTCTGGGTCCCAATATATTTAATTACCTCGCTTTACAATCAAGACACAATGAATGTTTAAAGAACGAACAAGCACTGATTTAATCTTACAGGAAATTTGTAAGAAGCCCCCCCATCTCCATAGATATATGCTAACATCGACACTTTAAAGGGATAAAAATGATCCTAGATATTCCTCATTTCAAGCCAAAAAATGTACGTCTCTCTAAAATGAGCGAGTGACCGAGTAGATCATACAAATTCAACGCAGTACCGCTTCTTCTACAAAATGTTTTTATTATCAGTGAAATACATAACACTGCCCTTCAAAGCGTCACGCTAGGATTCAAGCCGGTAATCACTTAAAACACATGGAGCAGAACACAGTTCAGAGCTGTTTTCGGGCTCCTTCCAAAGGCACGAACGTGCCCATCTCTCTTATCATCATCAACAGCCTCTTTACAATTATAGCAACAAGGTATACTAAGAATAAAGAAACGTGCTCCGAAATAAATAAATCCCAAATGCCTAAGCATTAGCAAGCCTGACTGACTTCTACCGCAGCCCGCCGCAGCGGGGGCACGCCCTACTGCTCTGGGAACAGCGAAGTGGTGGTAACGTGCTCCGAGGAACTGCGAAAGGCACCGAAATAAACACAGCGGAGATTTCAGCACATCTTTCTTTCTCCCTCTCTGCCTCATTCTGCCGTTTCCACTCAGCCCCGAGGACCGCAAGGCATATCCCCGCGGGCCAGGAGGAAGGATCGCTCCCGCCGGAAGGGCTCGGACCGGGCCCGGCTTCCTCCGGCCCGCCCGCAATAGGTCTAATCGCGGCCACACGGAAGGAGCGCACACCACCGCCCCAAGCCATCGCTTCCCTTTCAGCTCACCGGTCTGACCAGGCAGTTCCGGATGAGCCGCTCCTCTAAACCCGAAGAACTGGGTTCCTACACCGCTTCGCCGCTCGGGTTTCTGTGTCTGGGACACCCTTCCTGCCCCTAGCCCTCGCCCGCTCCTTGCCTGGGCCCCAGAAAGCCTTACCTGCGGGCCAGCCTGCCGCAGCACCGGGACGCCTCAGTACGGAGGGGGAGTTTTTCACTCTGCCCTCCACCGCTTCCACGGGTGCGAGGGGCTCGTGGGTCCCGGAATCGGCTCAGGCTCCTTCCTTCCCTCACTCCCCACGCCCAGAGACCGGACCACGGTGCCCGCCAGACACGGACCTTCCAGCTGCTACCTCGCTTCACCCTTTCCACCGCCCCCTCCCGCCCCTTCCCCGTGAGGGGCTGCAGGAACCGGAGCTGTTGGCACAGACAAGCTGCACCGCTCCAGGCCGCCCCCCCTCTTCCCCGCCCCGCGCTCTTGCCTCCTCCCCTTCAGAGCCTGGCGCTTACAGCCACACCGAGAACTCGGGTGAGAGACTGCGGTGAAATTCAAACCACCCGCAGGGCCCTGCGGAAGGAGGAAGGGGCCGGCGCTGAGGGGAGGGAGGGGAGGGAGGGGAGCGAGGGAGGCACCGCGACCACGCCAGCAGCGGCACCCGGGCACTGCCCGGCCCCGCGCACAGGCCGGCAGGCTGACCGCGCAGGCGCTGCGGACGGAGGGGCGAGAGGGCGTTGCGGCCGCATGCGCAGAGCCGGCGGCGGCCGCGGGGGCGCTGGTGGGCCGGGCAGTGCCCGGTGCGCGCGGCTCGTGAGGACCGCGAGCGCCGGGGCTGCGCCTTGAGGTGGCCCCTCAGTGCGGGGGGGTCGTGGCGGCTCTCCGGGGGAGCTTCTCTTTGGCTCTGCAGGCAGGGGAGGGAGGGGGGTCGTGCCCTGTAGTGCGCCCGCTCTCCGCTTCGGCTGCCCCTTATCATCGGGCAGGCTGGCTGACTCACTGCTGTGGTGGGGAGAGGTAGGTCTGAGACCTTCTGCTTTGTGCTTCATTCTCGGTTTCAGACAGGGTTTCTTTCTATCGAGTAGCCTTGCCCAGGGAAGGGCCGTGCGGGAGCTCCAGGAGCCGCTGCCGCCGAGCCGCAGCGCGACCCACCGGTGGGTGTCACCGCGGGTGGTGCCGCTGCGTGCCCATTGCCCGCAGGGCACACACGGCGCACACGGCACACCGGCACACGTAAAGCCTTCGCAAGGCTTACGTGGGTGGGTGCCAGGCAGGGGTCATGGGTAAAAATCCAGTGCAAACATTTGCGGCTTATCCTCTACTGGCCTAAACACGACCGGACTTCTGTACTGTCAAAACTGGAATATATGCAATCGTCACAGTCCCTAAGGATAATATACAGAAAAGAAAGAAATAACTATACCGTTACATATATTTCAATTTATACACAAAAAACCCAACTAACAGTCGTGAAACTTGCAGAGATTCTGCTATGAGATACAGATCTGTAGTAGTTTGCTTTTGAACACCTCTGTCATTAAGTGCAGGGTGTCTCTAAGAGTGTAGAGATGATTAGAGGAGACGGCATTTTGTATGTTAGAAATCACACGGGAATGAAAAAGCACTGTTAAAATGACAAGATAAGACTCAAAACCATGCACCAGAGTCCTTGACAGAGTTCAAATGTCTTACTAAAATAAGCCCAAGTGGATGTACATAATGTAAAAAAAAAGGGACATGCAAATGAATTAAATCTATTAAAGTAAATGTAAAACAACTTTATTGTGTTTCATCAGTATTTTATAATTTTCCATGTGAGAAACCCTACACTGTCTCAATCTTTTTCCTCAGCTCATCATACAGCATAGCCTCTCCATGCTTATTTTTAACATCACATTGATTTCTGTAGTTAAAGATGATCTCGCTGGAGGGAGATGAAGTAGAAAGTTTCTCATAGACCATCTGTAGAAAACACCAACAAAAATTACCAGTTTAAAATCTTCATTTTTATTTGATGTTTATTCTTGCAGAAGGGCTCACTTACTGATTGTCTGGGCTTTTTGGAGAATCATCATTAAAAACAGCTTGGGTCATTTTGGTTTGGCCCAGCTAGTGGGAGTAGTCTTTTGTTCACTCTTGAGTAGAGGGTTTGCATAGAATCTTCTGAAATATGGGATGTCTCAGGTCTGCAGGGGATGATTCTCTGTTAATGTAAATAAAGAGCAACTTTTTTTTCAATCATATGTACATTTTTCCATGATGAAGTGTTGATATTTTTATACCATTAGTCTTTTAATATCACAGATTTCACATTTTTTCTGTAATGATACAGCGAAATGTCTCCTTTAGAGCAGACATGCGTTTTTGTCACTTGAAAGAACAGTTGTTTACTTGACTGAAAAGCAGTGCACTGTTCGAACAGGCAGTGGTACAGGATGTCACAGTAGCAATTCTGAGTTCAGACACATTAATGAGTAACTAAACAGTCAGGTTATATGCAGTTTCATTATAAACCTTCGTTTAGAAGCCAGAACTTTTGCTATGAACTTTTGCTATGAAATGACTGTAGTTACGAAGTATACAATAATTTATGAATACTCCTTGATCAAATTATTAGTGAAGCTACTATAAAACTTACTCTAATAATAATCAGTTTCTGCTTAAAATAAATAAATGAATAAAGGAGGTATCACTGGATGTGCCTTTGAATATTTTTTCTCTTCACTCTTGTCTTCTTATACAGTAGGTTAGTATAGATCCCTTGTCATATGTAATTGAACTTGCTGCTTTACTCTCTCTCTTTTCTCTGAAAATCTCTCTATAAAACTGTTTTGCTCAGTTGAGGCAATCCATGGGTGAAATCTTAGTTTTTTCTAGAGTGATTGTCACTTAAGAAAGTATATCTAGGATGAATCTGTAAGTCAGTTATATGGAATACTTTCAACAATGTCAACTTCCTGCAATAAATTGTATACAGTTGTAAAGAGATTTTGTCACTGTAACAGCTTCTATGAGAGAAAAAATGTGTTTTCTCTGCAATGTTTGCTATTTGGGCCATTCTGAATATCTTTGGGTTGTTTTATCCCACTCTTTAACATTTCTGATCTTCCCATGAATCTTTTGTTTAGTGAGTATTGCACCTTCTGGTTAAGAATGTAAAACTGATGGCACACATGTAAGATTATAGTGTAACTTAATCCCTAATGTCATTCCATATATTTTCTGTTATGTAGCCTCCCTATTCTCTCTCTCCCTCTCACCCCTGCCACCCTCCCTTTTTGGAAAGAATAACTTCCATCTATTAGTTTAAATGGTAGATTGGTTTACTAATGGAGACTGATTGGTTTAGGAGCATTTTAAGAAGTTCTAACCACATCCATTGACTTATTTCTCTCTACATTTTGTGCTCTTACTTTCCAGTAGTTTATCTCTCCTCAGTTCAGATACCATCACTCAGCAATTCATTTGGCACAATTGAACATACTTTTTTTCCCCCCAACTCTCTCTCTTTTGGAGATTCTCAGTGTTGTTAGTAATTGCTTGTTACCCCCTCCCCACAAAAAGGAGTGTTATAGTACTCACTTGTGACAAGTGGAAAATCAGCTTTGTGTGCCTATACGGTAAAATAAGTGCAAACTGCTTTTGTAATGTAGGGAGTAAGTTTTCCTTGTTTTTTTTGTTTTGCTTTCCAAAACAGTTATTGGATGTGCTTATAGGAGCTTCTGCAGGCCCTCTTAGTCCTGTCCTCCCCACCTTTTCTTAAGAGTTTAATTTCTGCTAAAGGTACATTTCTGTCATGAGATACACAGACACATATATTAATGTTTTCAATTCCAGCATTTATATGTGTTTTAAAATTTCAAGAGGAAAAGAAGCAAAAAAGATGCATTGCCTTCCTTGGGTGATCTTTTGTATGTGATCTTCTCTGCACCAGTTTTTTAACTCTGAAATTATAAGAACTCAGAATGTATCTACAAAATATAAGGTCTGGGGAACTATAACAATCAGATAGTTTACATCCTAAGTTAAGTATAAAAGTTAGATAAACAGAGACTGGGCAGTTTAAAATTAAATTACTAGACTAGTAGAATATATTTTTAGTTACAGGAAAAGTAAATAGAGCAAAATAAGCAGTAATTCTGTGGCACAGTCAAAAGATCTCTAAAATTACCCAGTACCAGTTCTATTGAAGTACTTGTCATTATTCAAAGTAATGTTGCTTTTCAGTCACATTCAAAGCAATAAGCAAAGGGTTGCATGACTTAACTTTAAATGAAGGGAAACAATTTAAGACTTTAAAGAAAATATTTGAAATAGTTATAAAGCAGAATGCATGCAGACTGTATGCTGAACATAATCAGGAAATATTTAAATCTTTCGTAGAATTCATTGGAGTACTATTATCAGGCTTTCTATATAAGGTTTTTGCATATAGGTAATGTTTACCATGTAGTGGAGATAAAACAAGCATTCAAAATCTCTGGCTGCTTGGTGTGGGGATATGCACATTTCTCAGCTGTTCTTGTAGGGGTTAATGTAGACTAGAAAATTTCTGGTATTGCTAGGTAGCTGCAGAATCAGTGAGATTTAGTTTTTCCCTTTACTTGATTTATTTTAGCACTGCAAAAATCTGTAGGGCATAGTAGGAATTATGTCTGTACATATGCATTTTGATGGGGATTGGTGCTATCCAGTAGCAGAATTGCATGAGTTGTTTTGGTTCAGATCCATTGCATCCTCAGCAGGGAAAAGGTTAGACTGACTGTTGAATAGCTTTGGGAAGAGCTAACTGAAAAATTTATATTCCAATGTTTTCCCCAAAATCTAGACATCCAGGTAAATGCAATCTTTTGTAGAAAACTTCTTTTTTTAACACAGGTTAGGTAATTGACTGAACGCTTGAAAACAGAATGCTCTCCACTTTCTAGATTTTTATTTTCACTGTTTTAGTAATTTTCTGGTTGGTTGGTTGGTTTGGTTTTGTGATTGCCTTTTTTTAAAGTCTTTCAGAACTAAGCACTAGTATAATGTGGTTTATGTTTAGAGTGTGTTTATAGGAAGATTCTTATTTTAAATTGCTATGGATTAGTATTCTTGTTAATATAGCAAAATTTTAAGCACTGGAGTGCTCTGAACAGTGTCCCAATATCAGCTTGTTAGTAAGAATCAAGGGGAAGATGGGTTATTTCAATCAATCCCAGGTAGATGTGGATAAATTATGAAATATCTTAACAAGGTTTGTGGACTAGGATTTTGTGAGAAACCTTCTTATTTGTAAAGAAAAAGTGAAACTATATTCTGGAAAAAATTAATTTAAAAATTAAAGTTTTACTTTGAAAGTGTTTATGTAAGACATAGCAATATATTTAATTTTCTTATAGGACTTTTCTTTATTATTCCATTGTAATAACAACTAGAGATCCAAGTATCATCATCCTTCCAGACCTGACAGATTTAATTCTAACTGTCTTTATGTTCTGTTCTATAAATGTAGAAATATTGATAAATTCCTATGCTAAGATCCTTCGGGAAAACTCAGTCTGAAGCCATGATCTATTCTTTATGTGCTATATATCCCCAAGAAGGATTTTGTAAATGTTAGTTGATTTTACTGATGATATACAAGCCACATAGAAGAAATCACCTCACTCTTACACAGTTTTGTTGAGTTTGCAAAACTAGCAAGCAGTGTCTGTGTTAAGTGTGAGTAAATGTGAATCTTTTAGTATGTACTCACTTTTTTTCCTTGTCACTCTTCTGATGCCTGTTATATTTTTTTAATGTAGAAATGTCATTAGAATGTAAAGTTTAAATATGTCTTTTTAATATTTAGATTTTTATAACATACTAAAATATAATGGGGATTTATCACAAATTTTCTATGTCTGATGTCCCTACAACCCAAATTATCTTCACTTACTACAGTGTTACCACTAGGAATGCAGAGGTTAAGAAATTCTTAATAACTAAGACATATCTACTATGATTTTTTTATCTTCTTTACAAAATATGATAAAAATTAAAATGCTCTCAAAGTCTTCATATAGCAAAAATAGCTTTCACTATTTTCTCCAGCAACAAAGTTGACTCTCTAATATGTTTTAAAAATAACCAAATGGAATAACTGAAATCCAGAGAGAGGTGCTTCTTTTCCATCTGTATTGAGGCTATGCTGCTGCTCGCAGCTTCAGTGCCCTTCTCTGTTGGTATATGTTGGACATTAATTTGCATCATCATTTGAAGCTGAAGGTGGATTTTTCCTTTATACAAGTACTGTTAAAGTGGAGAAGCATAAGGGAAGTTAAATTCTAAATTTCAGGCTCTGAACTATACTCTCTAGATTGTCCAGTATGTATATTGCTCACAGAAGCCAGTCTGTGGTACAAGGTACCCTTGTAACTTCTTTGTAGGCTTAATCACTATCACTTCTGGTCCAGTTATTTTACAGCACCTGAGCAGTCACTCCCTCTTCAGTCAATGGCAGCTATGGATGCCAGCACTCCTGAGAGAAACAGCCCATTCCAATTAAGCAGATTGGGTTTAATAATACTATTTGCTGAATTGAAAATCAGAAGTCTGGGAATTAAGTAATATTTTTCTATAAGGTACATGCACCTGAGATCTAGGGCAAAACCAGCTTTACCAGGTCATGTTAGAGCAGATAATACCTCAAAAGCTTGAAATTTTAGGTCCATCATGCTGTACAAGTGTTGGGGGTTTTTTTGTGTTTTTTTTTTTTTTTAAAGGTGAGTTTCTATTCTGAACATTTTAGAGAAATGCATTGCTAATAGAATTCAAACACTAGGTATCAATAAGGGAGAAGAAAAATGTGAAAAGTTCACAGAAATGTTCATAATGATTAATTTAAAATAAATACAGTTTAAACCGTGTTCTACCTGCCTGTAAAGTTTAACCTGATGAATTTTGTTTTTAATTTAATAATTTACTTTATATAGAATTTTAATACAGCATATCTTAGTCTTTCTTATGGCAATATGCAGATCTTCTCTTCAACTAGAGAATGAAGCTACCAGGAGACTCCAGATGTCTGGTTGTAACATTCAAACTGGCCAAAGTAAAAAGTGAATATATAATATGAAAATACTTAAAACAAATTAATTAAAACTAAATTAAATTGATAGTATTCCTTTAAATGTGCAATGCATTTTAGAGCTTGAACATACTTGATACTTGATTTTGTAG